TTCTAGCAACAGATGAACGAGCACAACAAACAATCAAACAAACTAGCAAACAGATGAACGAACCACCAGGCCAGCAATGGCCCCAGGTAAACAAACATTACAAAGCGGCCCTATTAATTTATACACTTTACTGACTTTCATCTTGCTGACGTCAGCATTTAAACAGCATCATCAACATCATCTCACACATCATCATCCTCATCTTCTTCTTCTTTAACAACATTATCGTCATCAGTTAACCATCGCCTTTGTCCATATTATTATAATAATATAATATAACAATAATGATGATGATGATAATAATAATGATAATAAATAATTATTTTTCTCTTCACCACATCATCTAGTAGTTGTTTTTATAGCAAAAATTATAGTTTTTTGTTTATATCTTTTATAAGTGTCTCCATTGCTATAATTTTGCCCAAGCCCTTCTTTTTAAACCGTGCGAATCAAATGTTACACTCGTTCGTTAGCCAGCCAGTTAAAGTGTTTGCTCACTCGTTAGCCGAGGAGAAAAATTTATAAATATTTCAGATTGAGTTGAGTAGTTTGATTACATTTTATGAACAGATATCGGCAGAGATAATGAATAACCATTTATAAAATCAAAATTTAAAATTTGGTACGCCACCACATACAAAACAAAATACGTTTTTTAAAAAATTTGCTTCGAATTACACACACATAAACATATTCTTCCATACAGACACACTTACACACTAACACACACACACACATACACACACGCACACACACATAGACACACACATACACAAGAGACAAAATCACACAACACCTCCTTCAATTACCTTCTTCCTCTTTGATCGCCTCTTTTTATATTGCATCGCCTGCCTACTAACTCCTATATACGTATACATGTATGTATGTATGTATGTATGTATGAATGTATGTATGTATGTATGTATGTATGAATGTATGTATGTAGGAATGTATGTATGTATGTATGTATGTATGTATGTATGTATGTATGTATGTATGTATGTATGTATGTATGTATGTATGTATGTATGTATGTATGTATGTATGTATGTATGTATGTATGTATGTATGTATGTATGTATGTATGTTTATGTATGCAGTTTAGAGGAGCATGGTCACGTGGGCGAACGTATTCGTCGTTGGATGCGCGTGTGATACCGTGCGGTGTGGCAAACCGTTGTTTAGAAGTGGGATGTTCATTCTGGTGACGATGGTGGTAATGTTGATGGCAATGTGAGTAATAGTGGTGGTGGTGGTGATGGTGACAGTGATTAGGATAGTGGTAATTAGGTTAGTAGGAATGATATTTATTTCATTCATTCACAAGAATTAATTTTTTATTGTTGGTCTCCGAATCATTCATGCTTTTTTTGTTTTGTTTCGTTGAATAAAGTGAAGTGATATTGATTAGAGTGGCGTAGTATTTCTGTTGGGGTAAGTGTAGCGAGTGATGTGAAAACGAAAATGGAGTGGAGTTCATGTAACTGATAACTTTGGAACAACTTCACCTGCTTGGAAATCTGATTCATAATTTTTTTTAAATATCTGCAGCAACAACACAAAATATTCGGATTATAAAACAATTCATAAGAAACAAACTTCAACACTGAATCAAAAAAAGTTTTGAGAGAAAAGAAGAAATTGTACCTGATTTGATTTGCATCGTATAAATAGAACAGAACAGTTAATCAAACAACAATATACAGGTGGATAAAGTGTACAGACGACATCCACCAAGTGTGTACTTACAGTACAAACACACACACACACAGCACATACACACACACATACAACGCACACACATACACACACACATCTGTACAATCATCTTACATAACAAAACATACACTAGCCAAGTTTGTAATGTTTGCTGAACAAACTAACGTGGGTGCAGAGCACTTGTTCCAGTTAAGATCAATTGCATGCTGCATACGATGATTAAAGGACAGGCTCTCAAATGATTTTCAATCTCAAATGCTCATTAAATAATTTGTCTCTTTCCTACCTGGTGATATTTTTACCCACAAACACACACGCACACAGACACACACAAGCACACATACACACACAGACACACACGTAAGCACACATACACAAACACACACACACGCGCGCGCGTATGATTATATATGCATGCATTATACAAGCAATTGGCTATTTATTATTATATGATAGATAGATGTACTTATAACGTATCATCATTTCATAATATCTTATCATCATGGTGTTTGTGTCTTACTTAAAACGTAATGTGCTACACACTCACCTTATGTTTTTGGGGGATTTTTTAAAAAACTCAGTTTTTAAATACTTAGATATTTTTATTATAGATATTTTTATTATTAGCTTTATCATGATCTTCATTATCATCCTAGTCGTCATCGTCATCATCGTCGTCGTCATCGTCATCGTCATCATCAGCCTCAAAAACACAGCACCATCACAAGTCAATAACAAAAAGTAATTAGCAGATCTTTGTTGGAACGTGACCACGCAAATTAAGCAGAAACAGTTGGTCGAATACTGGTGATGATGATGATGATGACCCTAGAATGATAATTATGATTAGGAACATGATAACGATGATGATGATGATGCTGATGAGACGATCCTAGAATGATAATTACGATTAAGAAGTTGATAACGAAGAAGACAATGATGACGATAACGATGATGATGTTGATGATGATGGTCTTAACCATGATGATGACGACGATGATGATAACGATGATGATGGTACTAGCCATAACTACAATGATAATTTTAATTGATGGTCATAATAATTATAATGATAAGAATAATGGTGTTAAGAAAGATCCTTATTTAAAATTATGTTTACAAGATGACGATGATTGAGAATGTTGATGATGAAGGTGATGACAGTTATGACGATAATAACAATATTACAGCTGATGATGATGATGACAAATAAAATGATTATGCAGACGATTATAATAAAAAAGTGGATAAAATTGCTTTTTTTCAACTGAATCAATTTAAAAAAAAAACAATTTCCATGGTTGGTTATATTTATTTTATTTCTATTTACAAAAGGATAAAAATATTGTTTGATGTTTTATAAAGAAGCAAAACTACCAATCTAACCACGTCAGATTAAACACTCTGGTGTACAAAAGAAATCTTTTAAAAAAATGATTTCCGTTATATATTTTTTTATAAATTAATTGTTTATTTGAAAATTTTTTTTAAAACTTTTAATTTATTAATAGCCTTTTATTTTATTATCTTCACATTTATGAAAAAAAGGTGCAATCTACTGGATCACCGACCCCCAAACACCCTGCCTCTATCCTGCCACCCATGCACCAGCAACCACCCCCTCACAACTTGATGGTGTCGATGACCCTTCTCAACATCCTGGCAGATTCCTGGATGGCTTTTTGCTCCGGTGGATCCAGGTTCATGTTGATGATGTGACTGATTCCACTCGATCCCACAATGCACGGGATGCTGATGAACACCTGCCGCGTTCCGTGTTTAGTGTTGTTCGTTGTCAGTAAGGTTGGAACAGGATGAAATAAGCGCTAAATAATTTATAACAGCTCTCACCTACTAATTTCTATTTTTCAATAAGTAGTATGTCACTAGTGTTATTATTGTGAATTGAAACACATCCTATATAAATTATAAATAATAAATTATAAATAAAATCAAACGGTTATAAATTTTTAGGAATGATGCATGACGTTGAACAATGCTACATAAATTCTTTGAAAGTAAGCAGCAAAGTGCAAACATTTGAATTGAGATTAAAACGAAACGAGACAGCTACCTACCTCATCGTAGATGCCACTCCATCCGTCGGGTTGCGTGCTGACCGGGTACACGGTGCGTTGGTCCCTCAAGATGGCCTCACACAATCGACTGACCATCATTCCGATTCCCCAGTTTGTAAAGCCCTGTTCAAATGGCACGTAATATTATGTGAAAGCTTTAGAAACAAATTGTTTAATTTTGATTTTTGTTGGTATGGTTAAGAGGCATTTAATGCAACAAAATCGATACGAAACGAATCAATCTGATATCGTTTTAACCGTTGAGCTACGAACTAATGAAAATATTGTAAAAAACAGTTATACCAGAAAGACAAGAAGATATCAAACTTTATGATGTAAATGTGCAATACGATTTTGACAGTGTTGAGCTATCCTGATGTAATGGTTTATGTTTCACAAGTCATTTAAAGTTAAAAAATTTACTTTTAATTTGATGATTTCGTGTGGTACCCCAACAACTGTCTTGTGTACCTACAATTAATTTTAAATGTTTTGTATTAAAATCGTAAGAAGTTGGTTCTGAAACACAAATCAAGCTTTGAAATAGTCAAGAATGATGTATAATCACGAATGAAAGTATAAAGTTGTGATAAGAAAATTATAGTTGAATTGAAATCAGATTAAAACAATAAACTTAAATTTCTTCACCACTACTCGCTTTTGACCAACCTGGTCCCAGTTTTCTGGATCTCTCTCGGGATTTTCTCCGATGGTTGGAGTGAGATCCTTCAGCCTGGTGCCCGCTACGTTGACACTGCTCCACACGGGCACACTTGAGTCGCCATGTTCGCCGATGATGTAGGCGTGTACACTGTGCGGTGCGACTCCCAGCCTCTCACTGATCATGTAACGGAACCGACTGGAGTCCAGGAGAGTGCCGGTCCCTATAACCTGCATCAGATGGAGAAACACTTTATTTCAACATTTTCTGTTATAATAATTTATAATGATCTTTTTTTTTATTTTATAATGATTTTATTATTTAGGATGATCTTTAGAGAGTAATTTTCCTTTCATCCATCATGTACATTAGTATACAAACAAAACAATGGCAACCGAATTATCCGAAGGTGAAAATTTTTTGTATTATTTAACTTTTGGCCAATTGAACAGCATGCTAAAATATTTTAACCTGACATCAAGCCACGCAAGTTAAAGTTAGCAACGGAATCATTTGAAATCGTTTCATGAACGAACTTTATGTTTCGGAAGACCGCTGATCTTCCAGGCCACCCACGCCATGATGTCGCAAGGGTTTGTCACGACGATTAGAATGGCAGATGGACTGTACTTTATGACTTGAGGTACGACAGACTTCATGGAATAAATTGAATAAGAAACCGTTTTTTATTTATCTTTTGTAAAATTGACAAAACCGGCTATTAATTCGTTACACATCTCAAATTTATTTATAAATGATACTTTAGAACCAGTCATCACCTTGAAAATAGTAACATTTTTCCCAACGAGATCAAGTCTCGATTCATCTTGAGCCTGCCTGGCTCCAGCGGTGAGGACAACAATTTTGCTGTTAGCAGATGCACCGTAGTCAGAATCACCAGAGATAGCTACTCTCTTGCCGTAGAAGGCGAGTCCATGCATGAGGTCGAGTTGTTCCCCTTGACAGATTTCTTTCCTGGCATCAACGAGGCAGAGGTCGTTGCAGATTCCCATGGCTAAAAGAGAGAAGGCCGAGGCCATGCCCACCGCACCAACTCCCACTACCGTTACTCTACCGGCCGATTGCTTTGTCTGAAATTTTAAAGTTTCTTTTCTTGAATAAATTAGTTAATTTTTTTTTCATAAATGCCTAAAAACTTATGCATAAATAATTTAGAATCTCGTAATCTAAAATCTACTAAGTGACTTGATAATTATAAAACAAAACTATTCCAACCTCAGAAACCAGTTCTTTATAGATCATTTTTGTGAAGGTAGGTCCTCTTTTCGCTGACTCTGAATTAGCACAATCAGCCATCTTCGATGAAAGTTAACTATCTGAAAAATTGGTAAATAATTATTTTAAAATGTTGATTACGATCAAAAATTATTGCCTAAAACAGTATATGTTAACGAATTATGTATAAACAAAACGACGTTCTGTTTTCGTGACGTCAGCTTAAAACATTCAATGATCGTTCAATAATTTTGAAACAGTGAAAGCTGGATTCATCACCATCAATCTAAGAGTCTTTAAAAAACGCAGCATGTTTTTGCAGATAACTATGGTTTTTGGGACTGCTAGCTAGATCATTCTTTTAATATTACTGATCCTTGGTTTTCTTCTTTTTATCTCTGTAATTGTTTTTCTTTTGTTGTTTTTAATAATTCTACTTCTAACTTTTCTGCACTTACTTTTGGGGTACCTAAGGGTTTTATCCTTAGCCCTCTTCTATTTATATTCTATACTTCTGAACTACTCGTAATAGTAATAATTTTTCATTCACTAGTCAACTATAGTCAACTGATGATTCTTATATTTATACTTCTTTTCCTCCATCTAATCTCGATAGTGTTCTTTATAATCTATCTTTAAGTCTTTCTTCAATTATCACTTGGTCTAATTCTATGTGTCTTTAACTTAATCCTTCTAAGTAAATGTTTCGCAGTAACCGGGTTCGAATATGACAAAAAGATCCCCGCTTGATTGATTGATTGACTGGCTGGCTGGCTGGCTGGCTAGCTGGCTGACTGACTGACTGACTGACTGACTGACTGACTGACTGACTGACTGACTGACTGACTGACTGACGGACCGACCGACCGACCGACCGACCGACCGACCGACCGACCGACTGACTGATTGATCGATTGAAATAATAGTTTTTTTCATGCCATGTCTAATTTTCTTTGTTTAGGCCATTAGCAGCACCATTCCTCACCTGGATGTTTCGTTTTAATTTAAATGTCCAACAAATTTAGTTTTACAGTTTATTTTTACGAATAGGTAAGTTTCTGTTTTTTCAAATTTACAATTAATTGATCAATAAAATGTGAAAATAATTTACTTTTATTTTGTTTCGTTATTTTAATTTTTATTAAGATAATAAATTTATATTTAATAAATTGTTTTTTTGATTTAATTTGTGTGGTTAGTTGGGAAATTTTTAAATTAAATTAAAATACAAGATCATATGTTTATCAAATGATATTTTTAGTTAAAATTAATTGTTTTATTAAAATTTAATTATATTTTAAATTTAAAAGTTAATAGATATAGAAAAGTATGATGATAATTTTTTTAATATAATATAAATTATAAAATATAAATTTAATTAAATTAATTTAATTAAAGTCTATTTTAGTCTTTAGAGATTTACTATTTAGTTTACTGATTATTAACTTGACAGTAGCTGTGATTTAGTTTTAAAATATATTAGCATTAGTTCAGTAGATTGGTAGGCATTTGCTGTGATAATATTATTTATTTTTTAATTTTTATCAAAAATTTATTCAAGAGTTGTCAAGCAATTAAATAATTAATAAATATTAATAATTAATAATTATTCAAAATATTTAACTGAGCAATAAATTAATTCATAACAAATAACTGATAACTAAAAGAACAGAACATTATTTTATATTGAAAGTCTATGATTTTTCATTTTACTTTATTTATATGTTTATATAAATAAATTATAACAGAATCAGTTATCAATAAAAGTTTAAAAACTCTACCTGCAAAAGTCATTTTAATTTAAAATACAATGTTGAATTCATAAAAAAATTGATTTTTTTTATGTTAATAGTTATAGATAAATAGTTAAAAACTTTTGGCAGTACGTAAAACAACAGAGAAGAATAATTTTTGGGGTTTTTGAAGAAAAAAAAACTTTTAGGAAACAAAAAGGCAAGTGTTCACCTTTTTTTTAATAATTTAATTTAACTTCAATCTTCAATATTTTGATTCATCTTTCATGTTATCTATCTGCATAAACAACACTGGCGAATCTAATATGAGCAGACTGCTAGCTTGGTGGCAGCCCAACGTGACATCTACATAAAAAATTGTTTATGTAGTACAATTGTGTTACATTTTACTATGTGTTACATACATGTACACGTGTTTTTCTTTTGTTTTATTGATTTAATATTTACTTTTTATGAATTATTTTTTAAATTTATATTATGAAAAAAATGTCTGTTGTGGTGTAATGTGGAAATAATTTTGTTAATGAATGATGTCATTTTTTTGAATAATTTTTTGAATAGACTTTTATTTCATTTGGTAAATTATGAAGAAATTTTATATTGAAAATCATATTCTAAAAAATGTTGGCATTAAATCTATTAAACTTTGTCATAGCTATCATATGTTATTGAAATGTGATAATGTAGGTGATAACTTCACCATCTCATGTTGGATATTTCAAATTTTATATCCATTAATTTGTTTTTTGATTTTCTAGAAACTGACAGCAGAATGTCTCAAAAATTTCAGGTTATTTTATTTCAATACTTTTTTTTACTATCATATCAGTTTAAACATTTTTAAGATTATCTTAAATTTTTTTGTATTTTTTATGAAACATCCTATAAATTAACAAATTCAATAAAGAATATCAGAAGTCTCAAAATGACATATCTCCACATGTATCTGTACATTAGAATGCTATCACCATACTTGCACATATCTGAAGGATACACTTGAAAACCCTTATCAAATTTGAGAACCGCCTTATAAGGATTCTACACATAACTTTAATGTTTCTTCTTATATAATGAGCAACATGACACACAGCACAACTCATTGTTCTTACATATCATTTTGATGTACATGTACAAGTAGATAAAGTTTATTCATGTGTGCTCCTATGAGGTATATAGGTATGTACTTCTTTTCAACATTGCATAATGCCAATAATGGTTGATTATTATTGTCATCTATACTTGTCTTCAAAAGATAATTAATAGAAGGGTGAACATTGCAACTTTACAAAATTTTTGTCCTAAAATTAAATATTGTTTGATGTAATTTCAGTTTGTGTTATCGTGCCGGATACTTTAAGCTGTGAATTTTTTTTTATTTTAAAATCGACGTTATCAGGGCAAAATGGACCTAGCAGAAAACTTCACAAAACTGGAAAGGATTGGCAAGGGATCATTTGGTGAGGTGTTCAAGGGCATCAACAAAAAAACCCAGGAGATTGTGGCCATGAAGATCATCGATCTGGAGGAGGCGGAGGATGAAATTGAGGACATACAGCAGGAAATTATGGTGCTGTCACAGTGTGACTGTCCGTACATCACCAAGTACCATGGATCTTTTTTGGAGGTAAGCGTCATTTTTTTTGTGTTGAGTTGTTTGTTGAGTTGTTATGTTTCATATTATATTTAATGTAGCATGCTTATTTCGTTTTAATCAAATCACATATCAAATTGTAGGTTGTTGTATAATAGTTTTTTTGTAGTGTTGTTATGTTGTGCTGGGTTTCATTTGTAACTGTGTTCATTCATTTTAATGTTCAAACTGATTTTTTTTCTCGAAAATAAAAATTTTTAAAATTAGTTCTATAGAGAAATAGTTGTATAAGCAATAGCAAGAATGATTTATTTATTGAGTAGGTTAATAAAAGTTTTTTAATTTTCAAAACGCCACTTGAATATTTCCTTTATCAATACTTATGCCTGCTTATGAAAGTATTTACCATAAAAATTATGTCATAAATTTGACTGAAGCTTGTGAATATTCCTCCTAATGATGTCACATGGGCAGTGATGTCACAAAACATTTTTATTTAAGTTTAATATCTCAAGTTACAACTTATCTACAAGTACATAACATATAGGCTATGTGTTGTGATATCATATTGTCCTTCCATTCTCATATAATATCATCACTTATTTAGTTGTTTTCCAGTTAACATTGTCATCTGGTTGTTAATCATTGTTAACCAGTCTCTGTTTTATTGATATGTGATCTATCTCATGTTAATATGTATTAAGCATGGATGGATTCATGTTCTCACTTACTTACCTGTACTGTGTACAGCGTGTTTGTTTGTTGTCGATAACTTTGTGATATGAAATTAATGACATGCATTGTAGAAATACTATGTCTTACTACCATTGTCTTACTGTCATTAACTTATCTACATTATAAATACCATTTTTTATCATCATAATTTTTAAAATATTTTCAGAATGTTTTTTGGCATTATCAACTTTTCAAATTTTTTTTGGCATGTATTCAAATTTGTAAAGTTTTCATATGAACTTTGATATTTGCATAGATTTTGAATCATAATTTGTTGTTTCTATCATTGCCATTGTAGTTAACCATTTATAACAACATGTATTCACATTTATATTTGTTTATGTACATTATTTATTATTGTTATTTATATAATTTTTTTATTTGCACATTTATATATTATTTTCATACTCAATAAAAAACAGTCGACGAAGTTATGGATAATCATGGAGTACCTGGGTGGCGGGTCAGTCCTGGACCTCATGAAGCCAGCCCCCATCGAGGAGACCTTCATTGCCATCATATTAAGAGAGGTGATTTGTTTGCTTTTTGATGATCTTATTTTTGATGGATTTGATTTTTTTATTGGTTGATTTGTTGGTGAGTTTTGTTTTGATTGGTGGTTCATACGCCTGGTGGTAGTTTTTTGATAGGTTGATTTGTTAGTAGGTTGTAGTTTTGGCAGTTTCATTGTTATGTGTTTTTTTTGTTTATAAATTATTGTGGGTTTGTTTTTGGTTGTTTTTTGGTTGTTAGTTTACTATTCAAATGTTTGCTTGTTGTTTGTTAGTTGATTGTTGTTGTTTCAATCACCAACAAATATTCGTTTGACCAGTTATAAAGTTTTTTTGATGAGTTTTATTTCATTTCGCTGCCGTACACTCGACGCTCGACTACTAATGTGAGTGAGCTCTTGATTTTCATGTTTATCTTATTTATCTACTTGAGCAAATGAAGTTCAGGTGCGATGTTTCAAGTTTGTACTGTACTGTACATATGTGCATACCTTGTGGGCCTTAATTTTAATAAAAATTTACACACATTTACGTGAACACGTGATGTAGACAGTTTTATGAAGCAGCTTCATCAACAAAATCTTAAAAATTATCGTGCTGACATTTTTGTGTTTTTTTGATACATTTAAAACTTTAAAATTGTAAACCAATTTAACCATTGTAAACTTTTCACTGGTGTAATAATTACCAGCTTGAAAATTGATGACAGGAAATGTTTCTTGAAGTAAATTTTACTAAATATATCAATTAAAGAAGAAAGTCATTTTATCTAATATAGCATGCAATAACACTCACAATGAGATGGTTTCATCTTGATTAGATTAAAGTGCTGGCTGGTTCTTGCATTTGGACGATCTGCTGGTTCTATCATACAATTACATACACGTGAATTTGTTGTTTGTCGATATTTGTGAGTGATACAGTAAGAAGAACCATATAAAAATTAGTAGCATTTCAACGTTACTTACACGTAGTATGCATGAACTATTCTCAAATGTTGTGCATACGTGTAAACTAACTAAGTTTAAAATTTTACTTTAATAATTGAAACTTTTCTTAAAAATTATAATGAAAATGTACAAGGAAACGTCTAAATTTGAAGTTTTTGTATATAATGATTGCATCTGCTTAGATGAATGCAAATCATTTAATTCATACTACTGAATTGAAAGGAGTGCAGATGAATAAATAAGTGAGTTAATGTTGAAAACAAATGTATCATAAACCAGCCGTTGTGAGATAAGAGTTTTGTTGTGTTTGGTTGGTAGTTAGAGTTAAGCAACTTAATTTGTGAAATATACACAAACATTCGTTTAACAGATCATTAATTTTTATATCTGCATGATATGTATGAATGCCTGCTTAAGCTCATTCATTTCCAGACATACAGTCCAGTATATTTACATTTAGTTCTTGTTCTTCGTAGGTGTTTGCATGGCACTGTGTATATGTCTGTCCGTGTTAGTTTTGTCGTTTTGATGTTTATATGTTATATCATGTTGTGATGTGTAACAGGATTTGCTTCAATTTCTGTGTGACTGTTTAATGAAATGTGAAACGTTTTGTGACAGTCTTGAAATGTTTGACATATCTCAATTTTACAACAATCATTCATAGAAAAGGGGTTATACGCGTTGACATTCTTCAAATGTTCGCTTGCTTCATATGTTTGTAAACTTTTGAAATGTAAAACTCAACTGCAATCTAAACATCACATTCTGAAAGTATTAATTTTTCAACATTCAATTTTATTTATTATAATTTTTTAAGTTTATAATCTAGTTCTTCGGCAAAATACAGACAGAATCACACTTTTTATCCTGCACACATATACACGTATGTAACTCATCAACACACCAGAATAGTTATAATTGCAAAGTTTCTCGTAACTTTTATGAAGTTGTAAAAACTTTTGTTATTTCATTTCGATGTTTTTTATTTGTTTCATACAAGTTTTACATGCGTTTTGTGTGCTTCATCTGTGTTTTTATGTATTTCTAATTGAAACAGGTTCTGAAGGGACTTGATTATTTGCACACAGAAGGCAAAATACATCGGGACATTAAAGGTTTATATGTTTGATATATTTTCTTTCTTTTTCTTTTACAGATGTATGTTCTTTATAATTTGATATATAACTGTAACTTGTTAGGCTATCGTCATTCACGCTCTTAAATCATTATCATCCTTTCAAACTTTCAAAATTAGCAATCTTAAACTCGCTGCTTGTTCCAGGGCAGGCAAATATTAACCCCAGTCATAATAATTTTTTTAATTACGTCCGTCTATAATTGATGATTGTATCAATAGTTGGAGTGGATTGTTTGCAACTTCATCCCATTTATCCAGCCGCCAACATCCTACTCTCCGAAACTGGTCTCGTGAAGTTGGCAGACTTTGGAGTGGCCGGCCAGATCAGTGACACCATCAACAAGAGGATGACATTTGTGGGCACGCCATTCTGGATGGCACCTGAGGTCATCAAGCAGATTCCTTACAACTGCAAGGTCAGTTGGCTGGCTGGGCAGTATGATGCGATGTTGACATGTTGACGCTTGTTTGAAATATGATATTAGCGATGACGTCAATTGTTTTAACAGCGTTGTGTTTGAAAATCACAATTCAAGTTTAAAATAACTAAGTGTATACTAATAGAGATGTCTCACAGAGCTTTAAACATACTGAAAACATTTTTTTGATGATGAACCTAATTTTAAAGAAATAAAGCAGATAAAGTTAATTGTTAAACATTGTTCTTTCGGTGGTGTTGAAACATGTACTCTGGAAATTCAAATCGTGAATGAATAGACTTGAAGCACTCGGAGATGTGCATTCTTGAATGAATGTTTGTCTTTTCACCAAACATGTTTGGTGATTCCAAAGTTATGTTGCGTGCTTTCTTATAGCTACAAATTAGAACAATAACCCACCGTGATAAGAGTTCCGCATAATAATAATAATATAATAATAATAATAATATAATAATAATAATAAAATAATAATAATAATGATAATAATATTAATATTAATATAATAATAATAATGATAAGAGTTACATTGATAGTAATAGTGTTGGTAATGCACAGCAATAAGTGCTGGCAATAAAATTGATTATGTGCATGATTAACTTCAGTTAATAAAGCCACCAAATTTCGTTCTGTGCACTCTGTATACACACTTATCTATCCAATCGATGATGCTGCCTGTCTTGTTTTGTACAGTTCAGTTATCATAGCTCTTTGCTATTAAGTATTTTGATTTATTATAATAATAATAATAATCATGATAATAATAATAATAATTATTATTATTACTTCTTTAACTTACCAAAATAACTTAACTTTTTCCTTCATATTTTCTATTTTTTTTTGTTTTGTTTTCAACACTGCTAACGTTTCTATATCTTCAAGGGCGATAGCTAATGACAATATGGCACGTTTTGAGATTTGAAATGTTGTCAAATAACAACGTTATTTTTTTGTATCAGTACCAATATCAACAGTTGAAAGCATTTATTTGAAAGTACAGTAGCAATGTATGTAATAACATGAGCATTGTTTAGGAATGGTATGTATACCTGCTGATAAATTAAATTTGACCTAATCTTTCTTTTTATCTCGACAAGCAATTTCATAACACATGTTGCTAGATTGCATTTTTTTTATGATTTATTTTATTTTTGCCTATGTAACTGTATTAACAGCAACAGCAACATTATTATTATTAGTATTGTTGTTGTTATTGTTGTTATTAATGACAGTAGCAACAACAGAAAAAGTTTATAACGAAAATTATATAGACATAATTAAGATGGATGCCTTATTTACAGAAAGCAATTTTGCATGGAACGTTTCATTTTAAAGATATTCATTACTTAACTATAAAACCAATACACAAAGGACTGGAACATATATCGAATCCATAAACGAAATGTTTTTTTATTGAATAAGTACATTATATGTGTCGTAATTGTTAACAAATTTTTTTCACTTTTATGATTCTATAATACACCACTCGTCCTTCTTAGTCATCAATGAATGATGTTCGTAATAGTTACTGTTGGTTCGTTTTCATTCATTTGCTGGTTTTTTTATGAGTAAAAATTCATTCAATGTTAATTATTCATCTCCGGACGAGTTTATAACGGAGATTTGAACCGCGTTATCACGTAAATGATAATATTTAAAGTTTGCACGTAACTGAGCTCAAAAGATATCCAATGTTTTCAAATGAAAAAATGAACACAAACATAAGCATCATACGTACTCAGTAAGATATTTGACAATTTAGTTGCATATTGTACAACCCTACCCCCAACTACACCAGGCAGACATCTGGAGTCTCGGCATAACGGCCATCGAACTGGCTAAAGGTCACCCACCCCATTCTGACCTCCACCCCATGAGAGTTCTCTTCATGATCCCAAATAATGAGCCGCCCCAGTTGGATGACGATGAGGGCAATGCAACAAAATTCAGTCGATCTTTTAAAGATTTTGTAAACTCCTGTCTTAACAAGGACCCACTAAAGGTTTGTAGGCTGAATTATAATGTAACTATTGAATAGCGTTTCTGTGCGTTTGTGCGTTCGTTTGTGTGTACATGTGTGCAAAAAATTGTGGTTCGTGAAATCAAAAAAACAGCGCCCGACTGCGAAGAGTCTGCTCGAACAGTCCTTCATAAAGTCAGCGAAGAAGACGGCGAACCTGCGCGATCTGACGGATCGGTACAAACGCTGGAAGACGTGCGTAGCGCTCGATTCAGAGGATGTTGATGACGACGACGATGTTGAACCGCTGGATGATGGTGATGATGACGGGTTTGTAACATGATGCTACCGACAGTTATTATTAATTTCAATATTTTTTCATTCTATAACATTGTTATTTATTTGAAGAATTCCACTTCAATGTATTGATTAACCGGCGTAATTAACTCTTTTTAATATTCTATTTCACTCTGAAAACGTTAGTCACCGTGAATTTTGTTGAGTTATTTTTTGTCTATTTTGATGATCATTGTCATCATCGTTTCACGCCTCACACGTTGTTACTTTCTCTTCGTTTGACAGAGTTAAGTTAAAAAATAAAAAAAAATGTTCGCAACTCTTTCCACCAATCAACCCAACACAACCAGGAACAAAACGGTGGAAATAGATTGGGCGTGGGGTGACACGGTCAAGTACAAGGTAGGTCCCTGGATGAAACAGAATCAATCAGAAGATATGCAACAACAAAAACAGCTTCAACAGCAACTTATCCAGCAGCAACAACAACTTCAGCAGCAGAATCAACAGCAACAACAACAGATGCCTGTTTCTCAACAACTACAACAAATGAGAATAGACAAAAAGGATGATGAGGCCCCTCATATTAGACAAGCGCAAGATGTCAACTCGACGAAAGATCAATCATTTCCGCAGTGGCAGACGCCGGATTATAATTCACAACAACAGCCAGCGCTGCGACCACAAAAGTTTCAACTACAGCCTCACTACCAACAGACGCAACTACAGCAGCAGCAACAAATTGCCTCACAACTCATTGTTCAGCCTTCGGTAATTAAATCTCAGCAGCAGCAGCAACAGCAGCAACAACTCTTAAGACAGAAACAGCAAGAAGAATTGAAACAAAAATTTCATCACATGAACGAACATTCACTTTACTTTCCTGCCAAGCCGAACCAGGCACCACCACCACCAACGCAACTTATCTACAGAAATGCACGTATTTTTTTTTATTTGACTCACTTCAGTAGATAAGTTGTTTTTATTTATTAAAAGATCTTTTATGGTTTTACTTTATTTATCTCGTTATTTTCTTCTTTGAAAATGATTTAGTCAAAATGATTTAGGAAAAACTCACTGAAGGTTTTTTTCATTTCACTACGTTCACAATTACTTCACCCCGTTGTTACCTCATGTAATAAGAACATTGAGAGAAAGAGAGAGCGAATGACCTTTAATCTTTCATCGAGTAGCCCCTATTCTCGGCTGACATATATATATATATATATATATATATATATATATATATATATATATATATATATATATATATATATATATATATATATATATTGGTAACAGACTGTTGTTAACGCAACATTTAAAAAATTCAACACTACTTTCAACATTTTTATATTTCTTTTTAATTTATTAATTTCAGAGAAATTAGATATTTTATTGTTTTTTAAAAAATTTTTATTAAATAAATTTGCAAATAGCTATTTCTAGTTATAAATAATTCATCTTCAGTGCATTATATA